TCCTCATGAGAGCAGAGTTGTGTTGATGAGAAGGAAGAAGCATGTATAGAGGATGAGAAGGCAGTTTTAAGACAGAGGAAGACAAAAAGGAGGCAGAGTGGCGCGGAGAGCTTTGTGAAGATCCTCATATCTTTGTTTGGCGCAATAGAGTACTCAAGAAGAACATACATATAGAGTGTTTCAAATTGAGGTACGCTGATAATTGAATATATTTCATCAAAAAAAAAAATGAATATAGATTGTAATATTGACGCGTGGTGGATGTCATTTTTTAATCTATTTTTTGACTTTTTTTTATTTCTTATTTTGAAATTTAAATAAATGACCTAATCTAAAAGATTTTTTTACTTTATAAGATTCAAATTAAATTTAAATAAGATTTTTTAACTTTGTTTATCTTATTAATCAAGCAATAATTTTATTTTGAACTCATTTAGTTTTCAATTTTAGCTAATAATAAAAGGTAAATAAATAATCATTATTTATTTTTTTAAAGATTGAAATCTCTAAATAAAATCACAATTTAATCTACTTTCCGCAACCAGTTATGAGAATTAAAACCAGATAGTACCAAGAATTTGGATTCATTCTGAATACAGTGTGCATTTTTCGACTTGAATATTTTTCTACTCCTTATTCTTCACACTCAGATTGATAGATATAATAACAATATTAAAATTTTCACGCTATAATATTCTTCTAGGATTCTACTCTTGTTCTTCCCTCTTGTTTGTGAATTGGTATCTTTCCATGGAAAAAGTTAATATATTAATTAAAGATTATAATGAAAGAGAAACCAAGTTAATGTTTATTGTTCTCTTCTTCCATCTCGTGAACTTAGTCGAGATTAAAAATGATGTTTGGTAAAATTTAAAATGTACTTATATTAAAAGTATTATTCTTTTCATAAATTTAAAATATAATGAAAAGAAAACAATTAAAATTAATCTTTTAAGTGTGTTTTAAGCAATTTTTTTTAAAAATAATATCTAAAATTTTAATTTTTCAAAATTTAATTAATATTCACTTTAAAAAATAATTTTAAAATTTTTCTCTAACAAAATTTTAAACTCATGAATGGTACTCTCAGACAAATATTTTTTAATATTTACTAAACACCTTTAATATATTTGAAAAGAGTCTTTTAAGAAAAAACAAATTTCAAATACTTGCACTAACGGGAGTAGTTGAGTGACCACGAAGCAAACTTTTTTTATTGTGGCCTTCATATAATATTAAAATAGATCAGTGGATCATCATTAACCATAGAATATGCGTAACAACATAATCTTTTGTTTAGTTAGGAATTGATTCTGAGAGAGCAATCATAAGAAAATATCATTAATTAACTAATGGGACTAATTGTCATTGGGTAACATTGAAAAAGAGCTTTTAGACATTATAAAAAATAACGAGTAAAGCCAAAGCTAACACCAGGTCTTTCCTAAACCGCGTCAATATTAGGGCCTGTTTGGTGTGGCTTGTGAGAGCTTTAGCTTTTTGAGTACTGTTATGAGTGATAAGTTTAAATTTTTATTGGAGGGAAAATAGAGCTTTAGCTTTTAGGAAGATGAAAAATGGAGTGAAAAGTAAGTAAAAAGAGAGTTTATGAAAAGTTTGGATTTGAAACCTTTGAACTTTTACTGTTTAAGAGCTTTTTGAGGTTAAAAAAATATTTAAAAATGTAAATTTTTAAGAGGGAAATTTAAATTCATGAGACATAAATAGTGCCCAAAAGCTGAAGCTACTAGGAGCTGCACCAAACAGGCTCTTAGTTGGGAAGCAATTCAAATTAATTATTTATGGTTATCAAGACTTTGGCCAATCAAAGATAGGCATGTATATGTGTTTGGTCCCACCTCGAAATCTTTACAAAATAGACCAAAAGGACACACCTTTTAGCATATAAATACAATTATCTATCCTAATAAGAGCAATAAAATAAAATAAAATAAAATCATACCACTAACTCTTCGTTGTTGTCGTGACAAAACTTTGCTCATTCGTCAATTATATGCTATTTCTCAATTCAGAAAGTGAATTTATGTGATTTTTCTCCCAAATAACTCCCTTGACTATTTCTTTTGAGAAATATGAAGCATATTAAAGAACCTTTTGATTGGTAGTTTTGTCAATCTTCACAATACGAAGCTTTGGTCTCTCCCTATCCCAACGTATCATTTAGTTAAACAACATTTGCAGAAATTTTAGCAAAACTTTAAATCTGTTTAAGCAGCCTACGGAAATTGAAAGAAAAAAAAGAGAGGCAAAAACACATTAATATATAATGAATGCAAA